CAAAATTTGTACCTTACTTATTCAATTATAACTTAGATAATTTTTTATTCTTTATACCATACATATATGCATACATACTCACATACATAACTAACTCTTCATTCAGAGCTAGAAGATACTATAAACTTATTTCAATGAAGAAATAATTTCATATTTTAAAATAATTTCATATTTATTCATTTCTATATAGCGTTTTTTTTTTCATATGTAGTAAAATCTATACTCCAATTGTTCTTTCCGTTTCGTCTTATTGTCGCCTGAGCGATAAGTGGTTGTTTCTTCCCCTGGATCTCTTAATAAAGCGCTATCGGAGCCTCTTTTTATTAGAAAATTGTAGCCAAATATAAAAGATAGAAGATAGAACGAGGCGGGGGAAACAAACATCGGCAATAGGTTCAGTAATACCAGAATTCTAGATGGAAACTAGATTTGTTTCGTATGCAGATTTTGTTTTGATCTCGCGGCGCGCACACATTCCACACTGAATGCCGATTCGGAATAGGTGGATCCAGCATCGAATTCCAAATAATAATTTATCAAACGAATTTTTACGATCGAGCACATAAAAAAATTAATGTGCGGCAAAGAGAAGCGAAGAATATATTAAGCAAGGGTAAAAACCTAAAGGAAAAACAGCAACAAGAGGTAGGAAAGTGAGGCTAGCTTAGCAGAGGAAAAAATATGAAATTAAAAAAAAATGCCCAAATCAAATTATAGAATCGTAAAAGTATTTATTACCCCAGAGCCGAGTAGCATCTGGACAGAGGGACGGTCGTCAATCGGCCTGGCGACAGCCGGTCAAGAATTATGCGGCGACTGGAGCAATGGCTGTCTCTAGCCAAGGACCGGCAGGAGGAGGAGCAGCTGGATGAGAGGGAGGAGGAGGAGGAGTTGGAGCCAGCGCTTCCAAGTGATTTGATTATCATCGGTTAATTGGTGACTCGTAAAAACTTTTACGAGCCACAGCCGTGCCGGGCATTAAATGGGCCCGATTGGAGCAACAAGTGCAGCAACAGGATGGCGGCAACCGGAGCTGGATCTGGAGCTGCAGGAGCGGAGCTCAGCCATCATTGGCCATCAATAAAAGCGTCCACCATTTTCACTCAACTGTCGTCGCCGGCCTCAGGTTTTATGGGCGGCATTCGTCAACAATTAGCGGCTTAAAACTCAGATAATGTGGACTTAATGCAACCGACATTTGCATGGGATTGGGAATTGCTTTCCTGAACTCTAAGCGGACAATAACCAGGCGCAGGCACAGTACAGCCAGCAGATGGTACAGTAAAACATGCCACATAATCCTCCACAAAAAAGTGAAGAAAGCTAATAAAGCGTTTTAGCATGTTTAAGCGAGGTAGCTAATTTAGAGAAAATACTCGATAAAAGTTGACTCGGAAGAAGAAATGAATTTTAATTTTAAAATAAATTTAAATGCCCTGAGGAATAATAGAAATTATGCTTCTAACTAAATAGAATTTCGAAATCACATTCCAAATAAGAGTTACATTTTCAAAAGCCTAACTTTCTAACTAAACACTTGTATAAACTTACTGAAAAAAAAGCTTTTTCAAGCCATCATTTATTTGCCAATTTAAAAGTTTCTTAAACAAAACAAGCAAATAAAATGATAAAGTAGATCGAACCTGCAGATACCTATGCAAATTTCATTTAAAATATTTGATTTTACATTGAAAGTTTTATGGAGCTATCAGCATACGCCATAAAGGAATTAATATCCCATTTGGTTAAGCGAAATGCATAAATTTGAATTATGAAAAGAAAAGAACACAAAAAGTCGAGTTGAAATTAAATTTTGTGAACGGCATTCGTCATTGTCTGCAAAGGCCAAAGCTGAGGCGAGTGTCAACGCTTCCGGACGCGACAAAAGCCACCAATCCCAGTGGGTATATACGGTATATATATATATATATATATATATATATATATATAGGTACATATCTGTATTATATCGGGAATTGTGTAGCCGTTCTATGTGGGCCACCCACGGGATTTGCTGTGAGTTATTGGTGCGACGTAAATTGTCAAAAAGGAACGATCCGATCTCGAGATGTGGCAAGATGTACGTGTTATTTTGATGGCCGCATTGCCTTGGGATTTATTTTTAATGGCGATTTCATGTGGCCCCGGGATTAACTCGTTCGGCCACGCATCCATTTTTGAATTACGAGTGCTACGTAAATCTTCCCAGCGAAAATCTCAACGCGCAAATGTCATCTAAAGCTGAATTATGACTTTGACGCGGACGCGGACGCAGACGCACAGATCGCGCCAGATTGTCGAAGCATATATACCATATTATATGGCATATAATATAATATGGCAATTAAATCCTAAATAAGTCCACGTGTTTTTTTGGCGGTACAAAAATGCCGCTTGTTAAATTTCTGAACGAAAAATATTTTTGTTTATTATTATGAACTAAAAATCGAGCTGATTGCAAAACTCGCTTGATAAATATTTATTCGTTCGATAAATCAATCAAATAAATTACAATTAACAAAAGCAATAAACTTGAAGCGCTTTTCGATTTTGAATGGCAACAAGAAGAAAAAAAAAAAACCTAATCAAAATAAAATAAAAGCGACGACAAAAAGTCAAATATACAAATAACAGAAATATCAGCCAAACACATATTGAAATCAAATAAAAAAAAAACCTTATAATTATAAATTAGAAATTTATGGCGCCACTTGGCACACCAAAAATAGACGACAAAGATCTGGCTAAGAAACCAAAAAAAAAAAAGAAATTAGAATAAAAAAAAATATATTCCACTAATTGATCATATGGAAGAGTTCTCAAGCCGTTCTACCTCAGTTGCAAATCTGGTTTCGTTTCATTTTATTTTTGTCCAAGTTCATCTTAATCAAATTTTTAATGGCAGCCGCAAAAAACTCAGCAGCCAAACAATTCAGGCCGTAAAACATTTATTCAACATTATATGACGAAGACGATCCCAAAGATATCACGAAATTCGCTTCGAATTTCGGCAGTCGACAATCGGCAGTCGGCAATCGGCAGTCGGCATTAATTAACGCCAACCAAAAAACACAAAAGCTACTAAGCCCGTATGGCCAAATGTGTTTCGGTTTAAATGGTAAGACATTAATTTAAATCGATGCCACATGAGAGTCACGCATCTCAACTCGGCTCGCATCTCAGCGTTGACAGTAAAAATTTTAAGTTTCCCAAATGGGCATCATTAAATAGTAATTAGTTCAGCATCGATTTAAATATGGGCCACGGCGATATAACGCATCTCCAATCAGAATGAGTGAAATTCCGAAAGTTATCAATTGATCATATTCAAAAGTATGCAAAAATCAATAACATTATTTCGTACACTCAGCAAAAATATGCATTTTAATAAGTTTTTATTTATGTTATTTATATTTTTTTGATTTTAATTAAAGCTTGTTTCGACATAACGTCTTCCCAATGAGTTTTCCAAATCATAAAAATCATTTTGAAGCACTTCGGAAAAAAATGAAAAGATCGATAGATCGATTTTATATGCAAGTCTTATCCACGAACCCTTCTTTTGATTTTGAAATTCTATGCGGACTTTTACGTTTATAAAGTTTATAATAAATTTTTGATTTTGGCAAGCAAAGTTTCTTTTATGGAAGAAGACATCTTCGATCTCAGATCAGCCGAGCTGACATAGTCATCTCTGCCTGTTCGTCTCTATAAGAAGATTTTGTCGAAAAATATCCATTATTGTTTCACAAAATATATGCACAGTGTTTGCTAAAAGTCAGCTTATAGCTAAATGAGGAGCGAAAAAAGGTTGCTCTCAATATAACAAGCACTAATTACGATATTAAGCCATGTGGTTGAGTTGGGGCTGTGGGATAAAAACAACCACAAAACAGGACAGAAAGCGTTTAAAATATTCGCAAACAGCGCACAATTTATGAATATGCAAAAACTGAAAATTATGAACGACACTCTCGATGAAGTTTTTCAGGCAAACAACGAGAGCAGCAACAAGAGTGTTGCAATTGGCAGTGCTCGACTAGCAGATACCCTCAGTACTCGATGCCTTTATAAACATTTAAGTTTTCTTCAATGCATCCACAATTCCTCTTTCCTTTGTCTCCCCGAATAACTCGGTCCTTATAATCCGATCCCAATGAAGACATTATTATGGCACACAGCTGTGTTCACATTTTAATTCCCAATTTTGAATATTTATTATTCATTTATTATTCAATCTCATCTTGCTTAGAAGAAAATATACTCTTTGCCTTCTGCTGACATACGCAAACACAAAACTATAAAACCCTCATCGGGTACAGGGTATTGCAGCCATGCCAATAACAACAAATTAATGGTCGGGTAGTTTATAACTTGGGGCTGGGCTTTAATCGTGTTACAGCTTGTAAATGGACGCATCGATGGGCCGAGGATTCATTCAAATAGCAAAAATCATTTTGACCGCGAGCCGAGTCGTTAAATTATGAGAGGCACTGTTAAGCTCTGCGGGATCAATTGAGCACCAAACGGTAAATAACGCACCGGCTATCAGCCAATGGCTGAGCCTGGGCCGAATCGGAGTCAGGAGAGTCAGAAGTCAGAGCCGCAAAGGGATTTAGGATATTTCGATTTTTATAGTTTGGCTTAAAACACCGTCGCCGAATTTTACGAGCCACGGTCTTGATTATGAAGCCATGCGAAACAATCCAACAATGCAATAAACAATTTTAATTTAATGCAAACGATTTCTCTGCGGCACCTAAAGCCGGTTCCATATGGCAAATGCACACAGATACAAGGCAAAATGAAAGATTTCAGTTGAAAAGACAGGAAATATCAATTGTTAAGCGATTTTTAGAGTTAAGCTAACAATAACAATTAGCTGCAGTCATTAGTTGAATGGAGTTCAATCTAGATAATATGCATTTATTTCAATTAATATGATAAACCTAAAAAATATGTTCAAATGTTTTTGGTTTGGTTCGGAACAAACATTGTGCTTTTGGTTTCGGTTCGTAAAGCTAACTTTTTATTTGAAGAAAATTTTGTTTTTTAAATATATAAAATTTGGCTTTTGCTTAGTTTTTCGGAATCTGGTTGGGGTTAAGCTTCAACTCATAATAAAAACTAAACTCGAATTCTGTCTTAAAGCTTGTTCCGTTCAAAACCTGTTTGCAGCTTTGATTTCAATGTTTAAATATGCAAGTCTGTCAAAGCCTATTTACTATGTTCATAAAACAAAAATCAAATTCTGAAAATAATTGTGTTTAGAATTTGAAACTTAAATGTTTTCCGTTTTCATAATTACCTGTAATAAATATTTATACGAGATTTCCAAATCGATAAAATATCTGGTGAGCACATTTTATTTTTGATCCTAGAAACGTATTGAAAATCTCCGATGCACATGGATGAAAGTATAAGCCCATTTTGCTTGAATAAAGTTAAGCCCGATCACATCTAAGCCTCAAGAAAATACTCTCTAATTGTGTTTGGGTAACGCTTTCTTGACGCTTGCAGCACATCCGCCTTTCAGATGTTACTCATCTTCCTCTTCTTCTTCTTGATTTGGCTGCCAACAAATCAAAGTCTCGTCCCGCTGCACTCAGGTTGCCGGGCAGGTCTCAACTTGAGATTCACATCCTCAATGCCATTCGTCGCTGACATGTTGTCGCCTTCATCTTGGAGTTTTTTTTTTTTTTATTTCTTGTCTTTGTTATCGTTGCGCCTGCGCCCTCGTCTTGGTCTGGCTCGGCTTTGTTTGCTTCTTGCGGGGCGCGTTATTTATGTGCATCATTATAAAGTTGCCCATTTTATTGGTTCGCCCTCGAATAAATAAGGATCAATAAAGTTGTTACTTTATATTGACACTTGCAGGCGGCAATCGCTCGTCACTTTCGGTCGATCTGTCCCTTTCACCCGCTCTGGAACAATGCTGTGAGTCTGGACTGGGCTGATCAGCTCAGAATCAGACAGATTTCAGCTCTGGTCCCGAGTTATTTATGTGAAAGTCTTGAGAAAGTATTTCCCTTTATAACGTTGTGTGCTGTACAAAGCCGTGTTTAAGGCAGTCATAAAATCTTGAAATGTTTTCAATCTGTTCGACTTGTTCATCCAAAGCCATTTGCCATGGATATTAGTACTCGTACGCTCCGGTCAATTCGCTGATTTTCATCTTTACGATCTTGTTTATTTGGATCAAAGTTGAAGTTCTTAATGATTTTATTAACTCACATATAATAGAGCGTGTTAGGATTTTATGTGCCATTATCATCTAAAGTTTATTTGTTTGTTCTGCTTTTTATGTTCTGCTCCACTTGACATTTAACATAAAACTCATCAAATTGAATAAAAAATGTTTATGCTTTACAAATTTTGAGAATAAAGTTAGTTATTCGTTTTTTCTTCTGATGTAGATATACCTGCAAGATTAGTATGGCCTATAAAAAATTGTTAATTGGTGAAGAATTTATTGACATTTGAAAATTTAGTGAATATAAAAACAGGAGTCTGTGTTTTGATAGCATCTTCGCGGGAAGAAATTTTCAACACACTCTTCTTAAATATATTTCATAAGCAGAATGCAATATTAAAAAATAACAATAAAATTTCAAATGTCAATCAAACAACAAATATATATAAAAAATAATAAGTTTATGTAAATGTCTCTCTTTGATTCGCTTATTTGTGAAGTGCTTTGGCTTATTTTAAGTCTGATCGTTTATGGTGGGCTACCCATAACGGGATTGTTTAACTGAGCAACTTGCGCCCACCCACTAAGTCAGCCAGCAAATATCGCCCGACAGTAGAACAATAGACAGTCTGGGCCAGGCATTCATCCATTTAGGCATTCGGGCATTCAGCTATTCATACATCAGCGTCACATTGAGACAGTTTATTTGTTTAATTTAAAATGGGAATTTGTTGCTTTTAATGGAATATCATTCGCAGTTGGCACTTGTGGGTTCCGTTTGTGCTACTGTTTGGCATCAATCAACTGTGGAAAATTATTGAAAGGCTGGCGATTTGGGGGCGAGCGCAGTGCCACAAATTGTTTAGCATTCATTTGTCATGCCGGCAATAATACGTAGAAAATTAAAGAATTGGGTAAAATGAATTATTGGCGCTTTTCGGTGGGCCGCATATAAATCAAAACGCAATGCCCAGGCCAAGAAATATCACCTGTTGCTGGCAACGACACGAGTTGCTCAATCAATTTTACAGGCGAAAACTTAAGCCCAGCCGCCGAGCCCAAACGAAAATGAAAGCCTTGCATGATACAAGAGCGATCGCTGGCGATCCATCTATCATTTATCATCTATCATAATGCAGTTTTAGGCCCGAATCGAGAATTAATCCGTCAAAACAGTTGCCCGACGAGCCGCTGCCTGCGATTGCCAAATTCACAATCGATCAACTGTGCAGCTCTCTCGCCCGCCCATTCAAATGTTGGTCAGCCCAGAAGCTTTGCTGCAGCTTTGCCACCCAAATCTCTTACCCCCCCCCTGGTAGCGGGCCCCAAGCTGGTCAAGCAAATTAAGTGCTTTAACTGGTAAGGGCCTTTGATGGATGTGCGCGGGCTTCCAGCTGAAGCCTTTCCAGCCGGACGCGTCAGACAATGCGGAATTGTTGTGCGTCTGCCTGTGTGTGCCTGTGTGTGCGTGTGTGTGCGGAGAGTGTGTACTTTAACGCTTATCAATTACAAAAGGCGGCGACCGTGCAATTAGCTAGTCAGGCCAGTCAAAACGGCGGCAATGATCAAAGCGCGCCGCCAGCTTTGAGGCATGCCGCCGCTGGCGCCCCCCTAAAAAAAAAAGAGAAAGAATACCCCCACCCGAGCCACCCACCATTCCGGCAGTTGGTTAACATTAGTTCCGTTACATTTGCCGCATAATCCGGGCGAGTTTTGCGCAACACGATTCTCACATTTTTCGGGCTATGGCAATGCCAATGCATCTGGCCTTTTTCACGCCAAACCAATTTGCAGCGAAAAACTGCAGCAACAACTACGGCAACTGTTGACGTCATAATTATGTTGTTTTTCTTGTTGTTGTTGTTGTCGTTGTTGTTGCGCGTCGCGCACTACTTCATATTTTTTATCGCCTGCCGATAATTGGCGGCGCTACGCGTTGATTCAAAATAAACAATGACCCGCAACCCGAAACTGAAGTCCAGCCACCCACCCGTCGCCCCGCCCTCGCCCTATTGCGCCAACACAACTGGCAGTTGTTCTCGCTGTTGTTGTTGCTGTTGTTGTCCGTTGTTGACTGCGGCTGTTGGCGACTCACGTCGCTGTCAAAAATTAACAACCACAAAATCTGAGTTATTATTGCTGCAAAATATTTGCACTATGTACGTGCAGCAACAACAAACAAATTGTTAAATAAATTAAAATGTTATCGTGCTAAAATAAATTGTGGACCCACATAAATAGCCAGCCAAGTATGCGTTATTATTAAATATTTTATTTTATATATGCATCTATCCTATTATGATCCGCATTTGGCTATCAAATATGCAAGCTGACAATAAGTGTATGCTTAGCGACTGCTCGATAACATCTGATATCATATCGTATCGGAAATACGCCCTGACTTATATGGCAAGGCGGACTGTGCTGGCTGAAAGTGCTGGACTGCAAGATATCCTGTAAACATGTCCTCAAAGACGGTTCTATATAGGGTTCTATATTTATCAGCTTGAGGTGCTCTCGATGAGTTACCGAAAAAGCAAGGACATTTCATCTTCGTTGATATCGTATGCTAGAAAATAAAATCTTGTGATGGAACAAACGTACAGAATTGATAATTGGACCTAATTCTATGACAACGTGTCGAAAAAGTCTTTTATTTATTTATTTATTTAATGTTATCCGCTGTTTATTTAATGCTAATTGGTACAGGGTATTTAAAAGTTCAAAATTCAATTTATTGTCTAAAATTTTGGCTAAATTTGATTTTTTTTTTTTCATATAACAACTTCCATCGACATCTTTTGCTTTCATAGGTGTACCACAAAATCGTTTGCTTCAGAGATAATATAATATAACAATACATCTAAAACTAAAAGATATGAATTACGATGGTGCACATTGACTTTTATTTACAAGGTACAATTATATAGATGTGTCCATTCCTCTAATGGGGCGTATATCTTCGGATATTTTGAATTCCTATCAATGAGCTGCCTGCATACGCTCAGCTCCCAACGCGATGGGTGTTCCCCATTCTCCGTGGCGTTAATTGGCTCAAAAATTATATATCTATGCACACACTGGCAGGTGTTTGTGAGTGTATCTTATTGTATTGTTATTTTTCTTCTTCTTTATTTTGGTGTGTAGATATTGTTGTGTATTTATTTATTTTCAGTTGGTTCGTAGCCGTTGCGAAAAAAAAAACAAACATTGAGAATGCTTTGTTAGTTAGTTGGAGATCGCTCGAGTTGAGTTTTTATGCACTTTTAATGGCCAACCAACCGCGGTCGAGGGCGCGGCCGGGAGCAGAGCGACGAGCGCGGCTGCTAAATAATTCAAGAGTGGGCCATAAATACCAGAAGCATTGCTCATAAATCTATCAGTCGATTTGCTTGCCGGCAATCGAATTGGATGCTTAAGCGTTTTATTCATTCAATATTTGTTTTCATTTGAGATGTGCACAGCACTTGCCACACTCGAGCGAGATAAAGAGAGAGCGAGAGTGCGTGAGAGTGGCAGAGTATCTTGCAGATACAAGATATATACTGAAAGATTCTACGGCTACTATGTGATACTATGGATACTATGTGTGTGTGTGGTTTTTTGTATTGCATTGCCTCGTCCCCACCACCCCCCAGCCTGATGGGCCCACAAATCAAAACATCTGTCAGTCAGCGCTCGCGTCCTGACAACAACGCTGAGATACAAATTATCTAAATTGTATCTGCACAGCGCAAATGCATCTTGTGAATTTGTTTGTTTGTTTTGTTTGTTTTGCCTTGCTGAGGTTTATGTTGCCATCCCAAGTGCTCGTCTGCTTGTCATGCAGCCCCCGCAACGCCCCTAGACACCCGTCTTCACCCGGCCACTCGATTGGCCCGTGCTGAGTGCTCCGCTCCCGCCGCGCCGCCTCTTAAGCGAGGGCGTGCACCGTGGTGAGAGATTTTAATTTAAACATTTAACTGACAGATTTATCAGGTATTAGACGATACATGCGTCAACGATCAGCCCAAAGCAACGGCCTTTGCCCCAGGCCCTGGCCCTGCCCTGCCCCCGAAACAATTTGTGGAATGGCCCCAAGCAAAGTTCAATAAAATTATAATTAATGCTTAAGAACTAATTTTCACAACGCAAAAGCAGCTCCCGTTGAAAACACGAAATGTTGCTCAACATTTGCTGCTAACATTTTCCGAATACGGTCGCAAAGGCTCAGGCTGAACTCATGACAGGGAAGTGCCACCGCACCTCTACGACCCTTACAAGACGAATCATTTAAATACCCTAAAGTTTTCTATATTCTTCTTTATATTTCTTTTAATTAAGGTTTTTATGTAAAAAATCAATTTAAAAATGTAATAAAATTAAGCCTGCATACTATGTACTTAGTTCAACTTTTCGGTCTAGTATAGAATAGATCGGACTATTATATCGTAAGTTTTTCCCATGTGTGCTAAGAAATATTGATTCTAACATAATTAAGGAACAATTGTTAAGTTTATTTTTGCTTATTCTCTTCATATTCAATCTTCATATAGATTGCACTTAACTTTGTTTACCTTCTAGTTAACTTAAATTACAAAATTTAATTTTTTTCTTTAGATAAAATATAATGAATGAAACTGAAACGCAGACTCGAGGCCGCGATCAGGTTAAGCGACCCACTTTGAGTGCCATTCGTATCTTAATCTGTGCGCCAGTGCCTCAGTCATCCATCAATCAAAATCTGGCGGATGTCCAAATGACTAAATGACTAGCTGGCTGGCTGGTAGGTTGGCCAACTGACTGACTTTTGGGCTGAGTGAATGTTGCGTGCGCGCTGAATGACGCAGCGAGCACTTGCTGCTGCCGCTCGCCGCCCGCCGCCCACCTGCCCACCAAACACATAGACACACATACACGCCAAACCTTTAGTGGTTAATCAGTTGTAGATGAACAACGCACAGCTCTGACATTTGGCCAACGTCAACTGGCGATCGATCGATCAATCAGTTAACCAGCCATCCATCCATCAGAATACACCACACATCCATACACACACACACACACACGCGCACGCACAGCAACAGTGATATGAAGAGTTGGTAGCTGTGTGATTGATAGCTGAATGCCAGGCTACCAAAAAAACAATATCTTATACAATAAGTTAAAACATTGTGACTGCATTTTCCCAACTGCGCAATACTCTGTTCAGAGTGACAAAATATCTACTTGACTAGGTAAGTGGCATTA